TTCGATCCCCGGTACCAAAAAACAAAACAAAACTCTAGCAGACTATAATAATTTGTAGTTTGAAGATAACTTTAAAAATTCTAAGTAGTTTCTCAACATGAACAAGTTGGCTGTGACACACTTTGATTGTTTGAGGTGTGCTTCTCCACCTTTTCCATCCCAAACTGTTGCATCCTTTCTGACCCAGCACCCTCTGGTGGTCCTAGAGCCTTACAGCAGGAGGCCCAGTGTCAGTGTGGGAAGGCCCCTCTAGCCAAGCTCTCTCCCCTTGTACTACACTCTCTCGAATTCCTGCCCACCTTGCAGAACACTTGTAGGTCACCGAGGACAGCCACAAGGTGTTCCGTCCTTCCATTTGTGTGTGTCCCAGTGTCCAGCACAGCAGGGACAGATGCCTTCAGGTCACCACTGTGACTCATCATCATGTTGGCGCCAATGTGTGGTTGGGACTGACCTGCTCAGCCACTGGGTATTGGTGCACAACTTCTTGTTTCTACTCTTTGGGCTGCCAGTGTGTCTCACCTCACACCCTCATAGCAAAAGCCCTTATTGTTATAGATCCTGTGGGTCTGTCCAGGCTCTCATCCTGTGGCTGTCCAGAGCTAATGGGGTCTGTGACTTCACAGTTTGTATCCTGTCCACCAGGTGGGTAAGGTCCTCAGTTGCTTCAGGCCACTCAGTGTGGCTCTGCTGCTGCTCCTGCCATTCTTTTATTTTTGTTTTTGTTCGTTTTGTTTCTTTGAGCATGGTCTTGCTATTTAGCCCAGGCTGGCCTCTAACTTGGAGATCCTCCTGCCTCAGCCTCCCAAACAGAGGGATGAGCATGCGCCACCACACCCGGCAATGCCTGCCATTCTTTTCTGTGTCCTGCTGGCTGTGTTTATCCCAGTTGCTTGTATTCTCTTCTTTGAACACTAGGACCCTTTGTCTGAGATTCTTCTTTTTTGTTTGTTTTTAGAGATGCCGTTTGTAATATCTTCATTGTAATTTTTGGGCAAGGTGAAAAATAAGGAACTCAGTGGATAAATTCTTGGAGATTGTCATAAAGGTTATGGTCTCTCAGGCCAGGGATTTAGCTCAGTGGTTCCGGTGCCTGCCTCGAAAGCCCAAGGTCCCAAGTTTGATCCCCTGTACCAATAAAAAAAAATAGGGCTGGGGATTTAGCTCAGTGGTTCTGCCACCTGCCTCACAAGCACAAGGACCCGAGTTTGATCCCCGGTACCAAAAAATAAAAATAAAAATAAATTAAATAAATAAATAAATAAAGGTTATGGTCTTTTAAGACTGGACCACCTGTAAAGCATGTACAGATGTGGGCATATATGGAAGGTTGATCAATCCTCTGACAGCCTAGAAAGGGGGGCGGCGGTGAGGGCTAAAGAAAAAAGGACAATAGAGACTTTCCTAATTTCAAGTATGGGGGGTCCTCGGGAGGTCAGTGCCTCAGAGGGGACAGAAGACCAAGACACTCTGACGTTGCCAATGTTTATTGGGTTGGTTCATAGGGAGTATCAGATGTCTTGGAGGGCAGCAACAATCCTGAGTTCATGAAGATCTTATGCTGATGTATTCTTGCCCTAGAGCATCACAACATCATGGGACTGCTGAGGCCTCAGACAGCCATAATCATAATTTAATTGTGAAATGATTTTTTTCCCAAAAAATTATGTAGAATGGCTCCCAAAGAGTATATCTGAGGGCATTCACTTTCTCCTGACCTAGCCCCATCCATGCCCCTTCCCATCTATCCACCCCCATGAAGCAGACACCCCTGCCTTCCCAGGCTCCTCCTCTTGCCTCTTCTCTGGTTTGAGACTGTGAAGAACAGGAAGCCCAGAGCAAGGAGCAGCCTCCAGAGCAGGGAACACTGGAAGGGACAGAGCTCCGGGCACTGACAGGGGAAGGGCCCCAGTCCAGGACAAAGTCCCACCAAAGCAACCAGAGTGCACAGGTAACCCTTGGGGAGGAGAGGCCTGGTGACCTGCCATGAAGACTTGGCAGGTGGGGCCAGGGTGGGTGAGGAGGCGCTCAAGTGGTGAGGGCCAGCACAAGTCCAGCAGGCAGGCACATCCACAGAGCAGGAAGCTTTTCTTAGCACCTACCTCCTGCAGCAATGGAGAGTGCATGGCACCATGTGAGCACGCAGGGCAGGGACGCCACCATGGAGAGGGACACTGGGGGCCTGGCTCAGCTCAGGGAGCCATGTGGACAAATGGATCCTGGATGGTGGGGGACTGGCAGAGCAGGCCAGTCCCTCCCTTTGGGGACTTCAGGGCACCTGTTTAGAAACTAGATGCTATGATGTCCTCAGTTCCCTACCAAGGGCCAAGCCATCATGGCCTTTGCAAATATCCTAGACCGGGACACCAACTGGGTGTCCGGTGGTCTGACTTTTTACAACCTTTAGGCAAACTATGGTTTTACATTGTTTAAGGGTTATAAAAAGGAAAAGGAGTTATTCCACACAAAGTATATTTACTATCTGGCCCGTTACTGGAAAAGCATGCAATTTGTGCCTAAGCCATTCACGCCCACATGGACTTGTATCTTTGCTAGAATGGCTTCAGGACTGGTCACCCAAGCCAGGCCAACAAGGACATGAGCACTGGGGTCCATGAGATGGAAGGAAAGGTTGAACATGGGGGCTACCAACTCCTTGAGGTTCCCTATATACAAAAGCCTGGGCAGGTAGAGGGAAGGCAAGGCCTGTGGCTGGGCATTAGCGTGACACTGGCCCATGCCAGAGAGGGGGCAGGAGTGCCTGCACAGTGGGAGGGACCCCAAGGCAAGCTGGGCGCCCTGGTGAGGAGCCTGGACTTTGTCCAGTGGGTGGGGGGGAGCTTCAGAGCCACACTGTGCAGATCCAACTTAGAATGTCCCTTGCTGGAGAAGAGCCAAGCTTCCAAGTATGGAAGAGGAGATGGGGAGAAAAATGACCATTTATACTTTTTAGATCATGCCCTTTAAATGATTTATTTTATATGTTTTATAATCTGTTACAAATAGATATTAATTAAATATTATTTGTTGGCTATTCCACAAGAACCCATGCTATGTTTCCCAGATGCAGGGTGTACTTTTATCTTTCCTTTTACCCTCTTTTTCTCATTGCTCACCCAAGCTTGCTCTGCAGAGCCAGTTTCTCTCCCACTCTCTTTTGTTTGGTACTGGGGATTGAACTCGGGTCCTTCCCACTCTTAACTTTTACTTTCTCAAATAAACTTTGCCACTCCTAAACAAATTTAAATTTAAAAAATAAAATATTATTTGTTACAAATAAATATCCAGTATGTGGCAGGGTGTGTGCAAACAAACGCTTTTACTGATGTGATGGACAGTAAGAAAGCCCTGACCCAGGATGGCAAGGGTAGGAATGAGCAGGAGATGAGCCAGGTGCCCAGTTTCCAGGGCAGCAGGCACTCTGGCCTGGCAGGAGGGCCCTGAGCCCTTGGGTTAGGGCAGGAGCCAGACATGGCAGGCATTAGCCAAAAGGCCTGTTCAGTGTGCTCTTGTTCCCCATCTACCCCCATGGCCCTCCGCAGTTCTGTTGAACTCTGCTGTGCCCAGGTCTTGCTCCAGACAATAAAAGGGAAACATGAAGAGCCAGCGTGGCTCCTCCACACTCTGTCAGCCAGGTCCTGGAATGTAGACAGCTAAGAAGCACAGAGCCTGCTGACCACTGACATGAAGAGCATGCAGCAAGAGCCAGAGTGGACACTATTTCTGGCCACTTGTCTGTTGGCTCAGCATCATCTGGGCAAGGAAGGATGTCTCTCCCTTTCCCTTTTCCTGTGTACCCAAAATCCAGGTTTTGTCATCTAAAAAATAGAATCTTTCTTGGGATTATTAATATTAAAAAGAGATTGTCATGGACAGGGTCTGTGAAAGAGGAATGGTGGCTATTTGTCAACGTGAGTGGTCCTGCCTGTCCCTAACATCTCCTGAGGTTTGAATGAGTGGAGGGACAGAGCCCAGATGGCATACAGGGGACACAAACCAATCAGTGAGCATGTGATCCCCTCTTGCCCATGCCTGCCTGCCATCTGTGCAGCCCCTTCTCCAGGGCCTTGCCAGCTCTGAGTGCTGCAGGCAGCCTGGAGTCTGGGAGTCAAGCAGACTCCACCAAAATGCAGGTCCAGTACCAGTGCACATTGTCACCCTCAGCAACTCATGGGATCTGAGGAGCAGCTTCAGGAACCCAGAAGCTCCAGGGGACCAGAGCCTCCTCTCTCATCTCTCCGAGGCTCTGCCTTGGTCTCCGGCTGTCCCAGGCCAAGTCCTACCATCATCTTAGTCCCAGGCTACAAAGGCTGGTGTCTGGCTGCTGCTTCCAAGTGATGTGAGGAAAAGGCCTGAAGCCACTGCAGGCCCCTAGGTGTATTCCTACCCCCGCTGGGAGAGAGAATCCAATGCAAACCCAACTCCAGGAGTGAGTCTGTATTGGTGTCATCCTCACAAATGAACATCAGGTGGCACCCACAGCACACATATATGACAGGAACCTGGCAAAAGGGTGAACACGCAAAGAAAGTCCTCAGTGTCAGTGCACTGTCCTCCATCCACATGGGCTTGACATACTCCAAATATGCCTGAGGCTTAGAAATGAAACGCACGCACGCACGCACGCACGCACGCACACTTTTTGCGATACTAAGCATTGAACCCAAAGCCTCCACACTGAGCTATGTCCCCAGCACATATTTTTTAATTTTGAGACAGGGTCGCCCTAAGTCATTAAGCTGCCCAGGCTGGGCTTGAAGTTGGGACCCTTCTGCCTCAGCCACCCAGAATGTTAGAGTTATATATCCCTGCACCACCAGACCCAACTCCAGTTTTCAAGCTTATAAATGTCTTATTTTACCTGTCTTTGTTAGAATGTCTTTTTATTTTTGATCAAACTTTTGACACAACCCATTTTTCCTATTGTATCAATAGAGTATATTGTAGAGAAATTGGAAAATGGAGGGGAGTAGGAAGAAATCACCAGCTGGCATCACATGGAAGAAATGTACACTTTTAATTTTTTTTTTTAACATCTGTACAAATTCTTTGTTCCTGACCTCAGAGTGGTTTGCAAGCCTGGTGTCCTTTGGTACCTAACACCTCAGGCATATCCTCTCACAAAACCACAGTACAGGACACTTACCAAGTTCAAGTAACAGAGAAGTGACACATGACTGTCCTTGGTGGCACTGTCCCCTCCAGCTCAGGATCCCATCTTGCCTTCTGTGACCGTGTCCTTCTGATTCCTCATGTGGATGGGCTCCGAAGCCTTTCTTTTCTCATCACGTGGTCTATGGGTTGCAGCCACAGAGTGGCAGAAACAGTCACAATGCCACTGGCCAGGGAAGAGCTGATCTGTACCCTAGATGTGAGATCCCGGGACACGTGGCCTTGGCAGTATTCCAACCGCAGCGGTGTGGCCTGTGTCCAATGACAAAGACATGGCCACGTTTGTGGAGGCGGCAGGTGGCCGGGCAGGCACCAGAGCAAGCGACCTTCTCTAGGGGAGTCGCAGAGAGCCCTCGCCCAGGCTGTCTCTCCCGCTCCAGGTTCTCAGAAGCCGCCAGAACCGGGTTCCCGGGCGCTCCAGTGCAGGGTGAGAGGGCGCCAGGGCGCGAGGGCGCAGGGGACAGGTGCCATCGGCACATTCGCGCGTGACCACCCGAGAGAGGAGAGGGCCAGCCCCTGAGGCTCGAGGGACCCAGCTCGGGCGGCGCCGGCCAACCAGCAGGCGCGGTGCTCGGCGGAGGGGTCTTCCTCTCCCTCCCACCCGCGTGGGCAGGCTCATTCATTCATTCGTTCATTCAGTGTCTGGCTCGCCCGCCACCTCAGGAGCCGCCCAGCCATGCCGCGCGCAGAGCCTGGCCAAGGGCAGGAGAGGGGGAAAGTTCGGAGACCCCGGAGCGCGGGTGTCAGGCACAGAGCTGCAATCCTCCAACGGCCCAGAGCTGCAAGCCTCCAACGGCCCAGAGCGTGCAGGAAGTGCCACGGGGCGGGGCGGGGCGGGGCGGGGCCGGCAGTGGGACGGAGCTTCCCCGCCTGGCGGAGAGGGGCGGTACCGCCCTCCCGGACCCGGGGCCGCTCAGGTAAGCCTTGCGAGAGGAGCGGGCATAGTCACCTGCCGGCCCGGGTGGGTCGCTGCGCCGTCCCATCCTTGCTCCCAAAAGGCTGGCCACCACGGCAAGGAGCCCGAGGATGCGCCTCCTGCTGCTGCTTCCTTTGTGGGCAGCGTTCTTGTCCTTTGCCGTTTCCACGCTTTCTCATCATCCTTCGCGGGCCTTTGTCGGGTGCCTAAGGATTCAGTCTGTGTTGCCAATGTTCCTCCTTTTTTGTTTTTGCCCGTTACACTTTCTCACGTAGTTAGATTTGTCAGACTTAATCTTGGGTGTCAAGATAAGGAAAATAATTCCTCCAGTCTGAACGTGCACCATTCAGATATCCTGTTCTATTTGATTCATATTTTTATATTCAAACCTTTATAAATATCAAGAAAAATTTATGGAAATTTCTGCAGACATCTGGGGATTGAGTGAAAGTCTGAAAAATCACCACCTTGCCATCAGCTCTGCATCCGCGAGCAGGGTTTGGGCAGCTGCAGGGCCTCGAAGATCACTGCTTGGGGTGACTTTGGTCAGGACCCCTAGAAGCGCTGAGCAGGACACAGGCCCAGCTAGGTGGGGCTGCTCCCTCAGGGTCCTCAGCCTTTTGTTGCTAAGGCATCCTGACTGCCCACCCGCCCTCACTGTCATTTTCTTTCTTTTTTTCCTCTTCTGCCCAGTATTCTGCAAGGTGCAGCAGGCAGAGAGGCACCAGGCCTGACCTCCAGATGCCTAGGAGAGGGAGACCCTGATGCAGTCCCCACAGGGGGGGGCATGAGGGACACACCCATAGTCATCCGCGCCCCCACTCAACTCTCCCCAGCCTCCTCCCAGTCTCAGCCCCTGCCCCACTTGCCCTCACCCACTTCCTGCTGCCTCTACCACCCTCCCCCAGTGCCTCAGGCTCTCTCTGGCTCCCTGCTTGCCAGCTGGGTTGGGCTCAGGAAATGACCAGGGGAGTTCAATGAACAGAAGTGCTGGCAAGCCTCTTGCCCGTTGGCCATCTGCCTTCTCAGTAGGTTCCAGAGACCTAAGGCCATGTGTGAGGTCTGTCAGAGCTGAGGACTCATTTTAGTTTATTATTGTTCCTCTTACTACATTATATAACCGGTCCTCACAATGATAAGGAAACGTTTTAGATAACTTAATAGACTGAATATTAAGGTAGTTGTAGAAGCAAAATAAATAATGTGTTCTTTTAAGATTTGCTTTTCCCATAACTCCTTGTTTAAGGTGACAGTTATGTGACTCTAACAGCTAACTTCATTAACCTAACAAAGTTACCACGCTAGGGGCCAGGGATTTAGCTCAGTGGTTCCAGCGCCTGCCTCGCAAGTGCAAGGTCTGGAATTCGATCCTCAGTACCAAAAAAAAAAAAAAGAAACAAGCTACCATGCCAGGGTGAATTTACAATGTATATGTGCCTGTCTTGTGCCTGTGACTTGTAAATAGGAACTGGAATTGTATTTACATATCAAAAACCACTAGGGATGAGATAATGTCTAAAAAGGATATAAAAAGGGAAACGCTGAACAAAGGGCACGGGGATAGTAACCAGACCTGTTTCTGGTGTTCCCCCCCACCACCCTCGCGAGAAGATATTTTATTATTTTATCCGAATTCTGTGTCTCCGTGTATTTCCTTCCGAGATTTCTGCAACAACACCACCTTCTGCATGCTCTGCTGATTCTTCTCAGCGCTGGGAGCCTGAGTCCTTAGAGCTGTGGCCACTCAGGACACACACTGAGCCAACACACCAGACCTATGCCTCCCATGCACTCACTCCCCCATTCCTCCTGAGGGTGCCAGATGCCCCGGAGCTGCCCCCCAGGTCTGAATGTTGTTTTCCCTTCCTTGTCAGATCTTCAGTGTGTCCAGATCTGTCTGCGTGGGTTCTGCACAGCCCTGCAGCTCTGGCCTGAGTGATCATTTTAGCCACTATGCAGAGAACAGTTGTGAGACTAAACAACAGTTACTCCATTTTGTAATAGGGCCCCAACTTGTCTGCTTCTGTTATGGATCACCAGGTAGACATCGAGTTCCAGGGATGTGCTTGTTGTTGTGCCAGGAAGGTCTGTTGTGTGGGTAGTGTTCCGTCATGCTTGCCCAACTCCATATCTGAATATGTTATCTTAAGGACAATCTGTAAAAGGTCTGTTTTATCTCTCTCCTCCGCTTTTGTATTTCTGCTTGCCAACTTCCCCTGCAACTCCCTATAAAAACAGCCTCGGACTCTGAGCCAGTTGCCTCTCTAAGCTTGGAGCTTGGAGAGTGCCGTCTGGCCAGACTAATAAAGGTCTGTTTTACTTTAACAACTTGTCCGGTGTGTTCCCTCCCGGGTGATCTTCACTGTAGTCAGCTCCTCGGAGCATTTGGTGAGACACACAGTCTTACACAGTGGAGGAAAAACAAGCACATCACAGCAGAGCCACCCCAAGGGGAGGGAGCCTAACAGCAGGGCTACCCAAAAAGACCATGGGAAGGAGCGTGAGTCCTCAGAAGTCGGGGGTGGGAGGATGTGAACCCCAGGCCCACCAGATCTTCTGGCCTCCATTTGGCAACAGTGTCCTTGCCAGTGGATGAGTTTCTTGGTTAGGTGTGGCAGCCAAAGGGTCTGCCCAGGAAGGTCAGTATTTCTTAACCTTGGCACTGGGGACATTTGGGCAGGAAGTCTTTGTTGCGGGGCCATCCAGTGCACTATACAAGGTTCAGCAGCATCCCTGGCTTCTACCTACCAGGGACCGGCACACACACACACACACACACACACACACACACACACACACACACACAGCAATAACAAGACTATCTCCAGACATTGGCAGAGGTACCCTGGCTTTATGTTCAAGGTCCCTCAGGGCCGCCCTGAGAAGTCACTGAGGAGGATCCCGTTAGGGGCAGCCCAGTACAGGGGCCACTATTGCTGACTGGACCCCTCTTTGGGCAGTTCCTTAGGCCTCAGTTCTGGAGCCCTGATCCAGTGGAGTGCTCCTTCCACTGTCCACCTAGCGTGCGGCTGTCTTCACCTGGAGAGACCCTGTTCCTCCCCTGTGCCACCTCCTGCTGGAACTTCCTGTCTCTTACAAAGGCCATAGTTAATAACCAGCACTCTAATATGCCAGCATTTTGCTATCATGTCCCGAAAGCTTCTGTCTAAATGATTTCATGGTGTCTGTGAGCTGGGGGACAAGGATTGTCAGCACTCAGCCTAGATGGTGAGGCAGTCACAGTTGGCTGCTGTGCACACTCTGGGACCTTTCACCTGAGCGAGGACTCTACTAACACAGAACAGAAGCACTTGGAGTTTGCGGGTTGGGGGTATCTAGTTAAGATAGTATTGTCCCAGGGAATCCAAGGTAAGAGAAATGGGCTAGAACTGGAACACATGCCCTACTTCTCCCGGTACATCTTCCCCCATTCCTTCTGCTCTGCAACCAGTTTCCAGCACTTTCCAGGTCACAAGCGTAGATAAGAACATGCCCTGAGTCTGTCTGTCCCCTCCACTCCTGGGCCAAGGTTGGGAACTCTGCTTACTTCTGAAGTCACAGTGAAGGATTTCCCTCAGCCCACTCTGGTCCCTTGTCCACACCTGTGAAGACAAGTTTCACGAAGTGGGGTGGGAAGCAGAGTAGGAACCAGGCAACAAAATAACAGGCATCCACTGGGAGTGACTTTATTCTTACTCCTCTGTCCTGACCATAGCTTGGCAGATTCACATGTAGCACTGCATTATGTGACGGTTTTCTGGTGTCTAAAACTGAGTGTGCCTGATGTCGCTTTCCGGCAGATGCACAGAGTGGCCAGGTTGCTGTTTGTACCACCCCAGCTGCTGGCTGGGCAGTACAGAGCACCTAGCAGAAAATTCCAGCAGGAGGAAGCAGTGGAGAGGCGGTGCCTGAGCCACTCCAGGGGTCTTCCGGGGCGGGGGGGGGGG